CCCCAAAACCCCAAAACCCCAAAACCCCATTTTTACAATTAATATTGAAATTGACACTATTAGCCTTTAAAAGAGGAACCGCCATTATTATAATATTATGTTTTCTAAAAATATGGAAGCAAAGAAACAGGAATTTATTTTGAAGTTAGATTGAAATACTCCTAACAATCTCAAAAACTTCCTCAAGAAGCTAGGTCTCAGCTCCTCAGGCACAAAGAAAGGACTCCTCTATAGAGCAGCTGAGTTTTTGGTAACAAAAGAGGGCTATGAGAGGACTAAAGAAATAATGCCAAGGTAAGGAAAATATATCTTTTATTTAGAGCAACCATGGATGAACTCTTTGGGCCAGATTATAATTGAGAACAACAGCAGCAGGAAGCAGAATGCCACCAACTGCCGAAAGAAACTACGATTCAGCAACTTCAAGAAACAAGATTAGAACAACCACAAGAGACATGAGCTCAAGTTTCTCAGTTCAATGGCCAAGAAACTATTAAAAGTATTAGATATAAGCAATTAAATGAAGTGGCTAAATGAAATGTTAGGCCATCTTTCATTGGAGGACTAGATTCTTATACTGTAAGCAAAAGTCCTAACGATATAAACCTTATGACTTATGAGCATGCCACCAGCATAAGATTGTATAATCCATCTTCAAATTTGTTTACTCAAATTCGATGAATATGTGCTTCTCAAAGATTTGTGCACAAACCATCAAATGAAGAAAGCAACTTAATAGAATGCAACGATTGAGGTGCGAAAGAGCACAAATCATGAGTAGGTGAGGATAATAATTTCTCTGGACAATATGTTTGCACAATGTGACGACTCAAAAATCTTGATCCCTTTTCTGTCCCTGTGACAGTGTGTGCAGGACCTTTTAAAGTTAGTCCTGCAGACCCTCTCCGAAGAGAATTTCATATTCATAATAACTTAGATGAAGTGCTATATAATGATCAGAAAAAGCCTGAAACTGAATCTATTGGAAGAATCTACTTCCAGTTAAGATGCATGAAGTTGGAGCAGAGCTCAATGCTTCCAAAGAGTTATGATAATGCTTTTCCAAAAAGATGAGAAGTGAGCTTTAATAATAAATTGACTAATAAATATTACACAGAACCTCCTCCTAATGACCAAAAGAAAAGAAAGGATGAAATGATTAATCTCACTTCTGAAGTTAGAAAGAACAAGAATAAAATTGAGCTTACTATGGAGGACCATATAAATGATCAAACAAGCTACATCTGCGCCTTATTCGTTGTGAAGACTTTTAGTGGAGATGATATTGTTTCATATATTAATAGCTCCTCCAAGAATACTATAAAATAACTCCTATGACTTTTATGCCAGCAAGCTATCGTCTAACACTGAGGAAGATCAAGATGATGACATCATCGCTGACAAAAGAGTGGATTTTAACTTCACCTGCCCAATATCGTACTGAAGAATTAAGCAGCCTGCGAGAGGATCCTTCTGAGAGCATACACAATGCTTTGATTTGCAAAATTTTGTGAAAAGTAATGAGAAATGGAGATCCTTAAAATGCCCAGTATGTAACAAAAAGGTAATTGAAATCAAAAGAGATCTTATACAAGAGCTAATTCTCTATCAATTAGCCACAGAAGAAGAATCCAAGTGTGAAATTTCAGAAGAATTTAAACTAAAATTTATTGAAACTGACAGAGAAATTGATTTAAATCAACATTTAAAAGAAAAACTGACTCATAGCAATGAGCAAACTGTATCTGGAAAAACAGTTTTAGCTCCAACAAAGCGATCTTCAGCAAGTGTAGAAGATAGCAGAAATTCTTCTGAAAGGAACAGCCATGAGAACCCCATCAATAATAAGTATCCTAGAAATGAAGAAATAGAGCATGCTAATAGAAGATCTCCTTCAGATTTGAGAAATAGGCACTATGGACCAAGACATTCAAGAAAAAGAGCAAGAAGGGATAGATATTATGATCGTTCACATTACATTCCGAATCAATCTCCTCAAAATTCATCTCGATTCTCATACCGGCATTCACCTGAGAGGAGATCAAGAGAATATAATTCCTCCAGCTATTATTCAGAGTTTATACAAAACCCGAGAGAAATGCTAATCGGAAGATATAAAAGAATGCGATTAGCAGAATGTAGAGATCAATGAGAGCACACTATTGGGCTACCTCTTTCAATAAGATAAAACTAATCTTGATGTTTAAAAAGTAATATTCAATATTTTAATCAGTAAAAGGGGTTTTGGGGTTTTGGGGTTTTGGGG